GCTTGCTTGCCCCTGCATGGCCTGACTGTCAGGACTGGAGCCTTCTGACAGCTCCAGGGAACCCGACACCATCAGCCCCAACACAGGCAGCCTGGTGCTACCAGGGCTGTCTAGCAGTTCTGCACCAGTGGAGACCATCAGCCCCAGCACCAGCACCCAGGTGTAATCCCCTGGATCTCCAGCACCAGAGACCAGCAACCACCATACCAACCAACAGGCAACATTGGAGCAGTCTCTGCAATCTCCCTCACAGGAGATGAGCAGCTCCAGCCCTGACAGTCAGGTAACATGGGGGTCATCCCACAGCAGCTTCCCAGAAACTGAAGACAGAAGCTGCTCCAGCAGTCGGGGGCCTGACCGCCGGCAAAACCACTCCTGCCGGCAACGTCGGGCCCAAATACCACACCTTCGGTCCAGAAGTCCCCAGGACAGGATCCAAGTGCCAGCACCAAGTCCTGAGAGGGACAGGCCCAGGAAGAGACCATCACAGATATCCGGCAGGCGAAACTGCTCCTGCCTGCAACGTCGGACCCCAAATCGATCTGGCCGGTCCAGAAGTCCCCATGACAGGAACAGTGTGAGAGCACCCAGTGCTGAGAGCTCCACTTACCAGTGGGACGGTGAGACAGGGACCCACCGCTGACACGTCCCACATCAGACAGGGAGGTGGAGGCCCCCAAAGGGAGGGAGCCAGGTGAGAGCAAAGTGCCCCTCCCACAGCCTGGCAGAGGGGCTGTCAGGGTGGGCAGCACAGGTGCCATGACTGGGGCCATTGTCTCTCTCCCCTCCAGCATGCCTGCTGTGTCAGCCATCAGAGGCTGACCCGGACATCTGTAGAGAAAACCTTCAGAAAAATGAGTTCTGTGCCCACGAGTTCTGCCTGGTGAGTTGCTCCATGGACTCCTTCCATTTTTTGTCAGGCAATTTCTGCCACTCTCTCCTCATCAGTGAGTGTTCTTTTTCCTGCAGTATTTTGCCAGCCTCCTTGATCAGCCAGAGAATGAACGAGTAGGACTCAGGGTTTTCCTCCCAAGGAATATCCCAGATGTACTCTCCCAGGTGGCACAGCAGGTGAGAGCCTGACAAGAGCAGGGAGATTTGGGCCAGGCGAGGTTTGCTGGAGCTTAGCCCAGACCCCAAGCAAGAAAGCCCAGCCCTTCCAACCAGCTCTGGGACAAGGAGGAGGCCGTGAGGCTGCTGCTGATGGGGCTGCTCTGCTCTTTCCAGAGATGCTGCATCTGTGACCAGAGCAGGGGGCACCATCACCTGCTGCGAAACAGGCTGTGACCTGA